CAAATATATAAATAATAATCAATTGTTGGCATCATTTGAAACATCATATATTCACTTCAATAAGAAAAAAATCAAGATGGCAAAAGCTCATGTCTCCTAATATGACAGCCGTCAAAGACTCAAATCCAATAGGGAGAGAAAAATCAGAACTGGGATATACGAAGGGTTGATTCTACAGATTGCTGGTTCAAGTGCAAGGTTCTGGAGTTGCAAAGAAAAATTCTTAACATTAGTTACGTCGGTATGAAGATTTAGATTTGAAGATATGTGTTAATTTGCTCAACCTTATTTTTTGAATTGTCGAATTTTGAAGATTTATGCTGATTCATTTGCCTTGTGATGCGGCCAATTTAAATGGTTGAAATTTAATTAGTATAAATAATTCAACAGCCACTGAATCACAAGAGAGATCAGTAAATCCCATAAAATCGTTAATTTTTTATATTTTCTCAAATTAAAATTTTAAAAAAATTAATTTTAAAATTAAAATATATCCAAAAAATAGTAATAGGAGTCAATAAAATTGCTATTCTTTGATATTTTCCCTAATTTTGAGCAAACAAAAAAATTCAAAAAAAAAATAATTTAATAAATAAAATATACCCATGATACCAGGAGCAACCTTATTTTATTACTGAATAATTGCCAAAAAATTCAGTGGTTGGGAGTTGAACTTGAGACCTTTTGGTGTATTCAACACTGCTAATCATTGGTGCACATTAACTCATAAAAACATATCTAACAATCATTTTATATATTAGTAAAGCACAATGTAAAGTGATAATAAATATAAGTATTTAAACAATGTTAAATAGAATATTAAATGCGACATTCATTATTATTAAATAATGTTAAATAAATTATTAACAAAATTAATATGATAAAGTTTAAAAATTATAAAAAACTGCGGTTCAATATCCCAAACATTTATAATTAATTATATAAATTAATAAAATCCACTATTGAAAAATATAAAGCATACTCAGTTAAATATAAATAAGTGCAAGACTTAATACAAGCCCACTTAGGTTACTAAATCGATAGTGTTGCAAATTCGAATAAATGAAGATTGGTTCCTTGTGGGCACCACGTTCGGGTCCGCTATCTTAACTGGCAAAGTGTTTTTTTTTCTTTGACCTAACGGTGGGAATTAGGGTTCATGTGAGAAATGGGCTGATGTGCAATTTTATTTCGATATTTTTTTTTTTTTACGCAATTTCAAATCAGTTTTCTCTTGCTTATATGTGTTTTTTTTTCTTCCACTCCTTTAGTGATTATAATGTTTGGACTATTTTTGGGCTCCTCGATTGAAGTAATTGCTTAATATATTAATTAAAGAATTGAGGTTTCTTAAAGGGTGTGCCTAGGGATGGCAACGATCGGTTTTGGGGCGGGTTTTCCTAAATTCGATACCCGGTCCGTGAAAAATATATAAAACCCAGATCCGCTTCAACCCGGTTTAACTTAGACTCGGATATGCCCCAATCCATATCCAAATTAAACAGTGTTGATCCGCCACACCCGCTAGACCCGTTAACCTAAATTTTTTTTTTTAGTATTTTTGAACTTTCATAATATTTTGCTTGTGTATTTAAAAGCAAAATTCAATATTAAAATACAAAACTTGTACAAGTGATATAAAGTGAATAATAAATTTATATAATTAATTATATTTAACTTCTACAATAAATATTTCAAAATGCAAGACGCCTATCGGTGGTCGACATGTTTGATAGATATTACTTACGAGAAACAAGATTCAAAAAAATGAAACCGTGAAAAATTGGCAAATGAGGATAGATAAGATGAAAATTGGAAGTTTGATATATATATTAACTATGAAATATAATATTTTTATACGGGTCAGCTGTGGGTCGGTTCCAATAAGACCCGTAACCCGGCCCACAACCTTCCGGTTCTAGAAACATAAACCCATTACTCGACCCATAACCATTTAATTTACTCAGACCCGCCCCAAACGGGTCGGTTCCGGGTCTAAGACCTGGCAAACCCTTACCCATCGTCATCCCTAGGTGTGCCAAAAATGAGATATAACAGTAGGTGACTACTATAATTCTTTATTTTTTTTTTGTTTGGGCAAATTACGGCCACCTCCCTGAAGTAAGATATAATTATGAAAAAGCCCCTCTTGTTTGCATAATTACGACCACCCCTCAATTATGTATTGTCTTACACGTCCATTCTTACAATATAAAATTTACCTAGGGATGTTCTTTCGGTGGGTAAGCCGATCGAATAGAATCGAATAAAAATTCGTACATGCCGATTTCCGAACCGTTAATTCGGAGTGGTATTCAGAGATATTTTTTTATATATATATATATATATATATATATATATATATATATATATATATATATATATATATATATATATATATATTAGTATTGAAACTAAAATTAATAAAAAAATTATCAAAAATATCAAAATTTTAAATATTTTTGATAAAGTTTTGGTAATTCGGTTATTTATCGAACCAAACACTAAACGATATGAAATTTTGGCGTACATCAATTTATGTATAATTTTTCCGAATGAACGCCCCTAAATTTATCAACTGGTGGGATTTTTTCGTAATATAATACATAGTTGAGGAGGGTGCTTGTACTTAATTATGCAAACATGACGGGTTTTTTCGTAATTTAACCTTACCTCAGAGGGTGGTCGTAATTTGCCCCCTTTTTTTTATAAGAAAACTATAATTATGTAGTTTACTATTACAATTTTATAGGTAACTACGAAAAAATCATAATTAACTACCGTTATTTTGTAGTTGACGACCACAATTTTATTGCTAACTAGCAAAATGTTATAGTTGACTACCATAATTTTATAGCTAACTAGCATAATGTTATACTCCATTCATTCAATTTTAATTGTCTTTTTGGACTAATTCACACATATTAAGAAAATTAATAGACGTGTATGGATCTAGAAAAATCATAATAAAATGATTAAAAAACTACTTTTATTAAATGTTTAAACATTAATTCTTTTAATAGTAATAAGCACATAATTGAGAAAACACAATAAATATTTCATTGGAATCCTAAAGTGACAACTATTTTGAAATGAAAAAAATTCTCTAGAAAGATAAATAAAATGGGAAGGAGGGAGTAGTTGACTGTCAAGTTCAGTATTTGAATACATTAACTTAACAATTGTAATTTAGTAGAATTCGAAAAAATAAAAATAAAAACAATACTAATAAAAAAAAAGAATAAAGAATAAAACTAAGGAATTATTTTGTAGACCCCCTCATTTTTAAATCTAATAAAACTAACTACTAAGTGGATTACACTCTAGGAGAAACCCCTTCATTTCGAAAATATTTTGACATACCCCCATGGGCCACCCTGAAGTCCCTATAATACCCTTTTAAAATCAGTTTTAAACCCTAGCCACTCACATTTATGTCACTCTCTTCTTCTCCCAAATTCAAAATCCCGCCTCCACAAACCTCCCACCGGCGAAATTGCTTCCCGAAGTCATAACTCTCTCTCCGGTGGTCGAAATTCGATGGTTTAAACTACCGTTGGATTCCTCTCGTCGAGCTCTTTGTTTTGGTGGTGATTTCATTCCGTTTGGAGTGCAAATCTGTTTCTGCAATTTTTTTTTTCATTCGACGACAGTGGTCTTGCTGGAGGTGTATTTTGTGTTCCACCAGTCGAAATATGACGGGCTACCCACCTTTGGATTCCTCTCGTCGAGATTTATATTTTGATGGTAATTTCGTTGTTTTTATGTTTTCAGATTTATTTCCATATTTTTTTGCATTTGTGGGCGCGCGGAAGAACCGTGGTTGGTTAAAAGCGGCGGCTAGGGTTTTGGTAGGAGGCGAGGGGGTGATGAGTCACTGTTCCTTTGATTTAAAATTTGTAGCATTTCCCAACAACAACCTTTCTCTCTATCTCTCGATTTCTTAGTGTTTGTTGATTTTTGAGTGTTTTGATATTTCTTCAAATTTTGTTGATTTGCACTAAAGTATTTTTTCTTGTTTTGATTTTGCAATTGCAGCTTAATGAAAGCATTGATCCTCTTCTTGAAGGTGTCAAAAATTGGGTTGAAGTTACATCTGCTTGTAACTCAAGTTACAGTATTCAACAGACTGTATACATTACTATATATTATTATACATATAGTAACATGTAGTTACATATGCATATATTTGTATATTTTCGATTTGTATTTTATTGGTTCTGAAGTGATTTATAATAAAAATATTGAAATTTGTAAATTTTTGTTGGAGTTTATGAATTTCTTTTGCATAAGCCAGTATTCTTGTGTGTATACAATTGATCGACTAAAAATATGGGGTAACAAAACGAACATAACTACGAATTACTATGGGTACTACAGTTACATGTAGTTATTTTTTTCAGTACAGTAAACATATTGTTTTGAAAATTAAAAAAAATTAAAAAAAATTAAAAAATTAAAAAAATATATATATATATATATATATATATATAACAGATTAAAAAAAGAAAAGAAAAATAATAATAAATAATTCAGCGAAAATGATATATGCAGATCCAGAAATACTGAATGCAGTTTGGCCGAAAATTTCATAAAAAGGTAGTATAGTACTTTCGCTTTTCCAAAGGTATGTCAAAGGATGATTTGCACTTGAGTTTATACCTAATTTATTTAGTGGCTACGTGTATGTAAAATAACCCCTAAAATTAAATTCAAGAGAGAGAGAGAGTGTGTTATGCCATATCAGGGAAATGCCTTACAATTCCAAAAAAGAGCCTCATAAAGTAAAATCTAATATTGAAGATGAAAAGAAATTGTTGAAGAACCCTAAAAACTAATTAAATCAAATGTAAGAATTCGACCGAATATCAAAAAATAGAATCGGAATCTTCGGGTTGGCAGATGATGCTAAGATCATCGATCTTACTGAATTCCCCCACCAAAATCCCATACTCATCGAACACTTGCACACCGTTGATGAACCCGAATTTGTCATCTTGTTATCCATAAACTTTCTCTTCCATGGCGGCGGCGCTACGGCTGCTGGTTTCATCAGAAACGTCATTTTTGTCGGAAACTTTCTCTTCCACGGGGGCGGCGCTACGGCTGTTGGTTCCATCAGAAACCTCGTTTTTGTCGGAAACTTGTTCTTCCATGGTGGCGGCGCTACGGCTGCTGGTTTCATCAGAAACCTCATTTTTGTCGGAAACTTGCTCTTCCAGGGCGGCGGTGCTACGCCTGCTGATTTCATCAGAAGAAACCTCGTTTTTGCCGAAAACTTGCTCTTCAACGGGGGCGGTGCTACGGCTGCGGGTTTCATCAGAATCCTCGTTTTTGTCGGAAACTTGCTCTTCCAGGGCGGCGGCGCTACGGCTGCTGGTTCCATCAGAAACCCCGTTTTTGTCGGAAACTTGGCGTTTGTGGAGAACGTGGGATGGAGAATCTAGGGTTTCGGATGGATTTTGAGAGGGAATATTTTTGGCAAGCAGCTTAGACTTAGATTCGTCAATCTCACGTTTCTTGGAAAGATAAACGAATGAAGCCTCCTCGGGGGTGTTGAAAGTGCCAAGCCAAACACGCTTCTTTTTTCTGAAATCCCTTATTTCTGCTGTATATTTTGAGTTTCTCTTCCGTACTCCTACGTATTTCGTTTCTAGGGACACCCGCCTCTCTTCTTTCTTCAGATCTGCCATTTCAAACTACTTAGTAATTAACAAATTTGGGAGAAAGAAAGAGAGCCGATGGATGTGAAGAAGATAATGAATGACTTATTGGACTATTAAATATTTTTTTCCAACTTTTGTGGCCTCAATACAAATCAAGATTTCAAAATGCCATCTTTCGAGAATGTGCTTAATGACTTTTACTTTATAACCATAATTCGATTTAAAACCCCCAAATTAAAACCCTAATTTAGTGAAAACCCTTAATTTTATTTAAAACCCCTGAAAATTCAAAATTCCCAAATTCAAATTCAAAACCATTTTTCATTACTTTATGCCCCAAATCAAAAACCATCTTCCCCCATTAACATACATCCCTTAACCCTACATCCACATTACTATTCAAACATATATTTCCTTTAATCGATCCCAAAATCTTTAAACGAGTTGGGCCTTCCTTCCAAATGTCTAATTACTTGAATATGTCGGGCGTTTAAAAAAATCTTCAGGAATTCGACCAAGTTATCGGGGGAGGAATAATTAGAGAGAGTGAAATGATGGTTTTTTTCTTGCAATTGTGGAGAAAGAGTGATCCAGGTGATGGTGAGAGAGGGGCCAAAGTATCGTTTTTTCTTGAAGTCTTTCTCAAGAGATGGAGCGCAACTATGTTTTTTTAATTTTTTTTATTTTCTATTTTGATCCTGGTGTATGTTATTAACAGAAAACCTAACGCCGTTAATGTTTTTGGTAGTTATTAACGTTGACTAAGATATGAAAGGTACAAATTATCCCAGTTTATAGTTGAGAGGGCATTTTGCGTCGGAACCTATAGTTCCGAGGGTTAAGTGTACTTACCCCTTGATATTATGATCTTCATTAAGCATGAAAAAAAAAATTAATTAATAAATAAAACAAACCCTAAATAAAGTTGATCAACTAAGCAATCATGACATTTTATCTAATCGGTTTTAATCATGTAAAGTAGTGAAGACATGAGTGTAGAGCTGGCGAATATTCATAGGGGAGCAATTAGTTTGATCACCATTCAATAATTTATCAGCTACAGCCAAATTAGCAGCTTCTGTAGGATGGTATGCATCCCAAAACACATATCTTTTTCTATCACCACACAGTGAAGAACTCGTGATGTCAGCAGCATCATCTTTCCCTTTATAGCAAAAGAATGGTGGGATATATCCTCCACAGCAAGGCCCATCACTGTTGTCAAATCCTGTTTTTAATTATTACATAATATTCACAAAAATATATTTAATTAGTATTTATTGCATAACAATATTTATTCTCAAGAATGTATATTAATCACCGTAGTTGGGGTAGTTAAGGATGAGTTGCATGAAAATGTCGTATGAATTGGCATATACAAACACAGCATTCGGACCCATGTTTGTGTTCATTTGATCGAGCTCCCGTTTTAGTTTCTGATTGTAGCCCATAACGAAAGCGTTAATATTATCAGAGCATCGTCCACTCGGAATAAGATTTGTAGCTCGAATAAAAGGAATGCATCCGAGAGGTCCAATGCCAACAACAACAAATTTACGTGCCCCTAATCCATGCAACCGCTTTTTGCCAAAAAACAAAAAACAATAATAACGAAAGTATATGAATGATCAGCAAAATTAATCCTCAAGAATATGTACCGTTGCATTGTAAGAAAAATATGCGTACTTAAGTTACCTTAAGCTGCATTGTCAAATTATAAAGCATGAAATCCTGGAAAGCAGATCGAGAAACGTTGGCGCTGAAAAATTGGAAATAATTGATAACATCGTTGGAGCCAGTTGTTAGAGAGAAAATCGCATCCTTTAAGAAACTGCTTGTGCCATTTTCTCCCACAGTATTCACCATGTACTCTCTCGTTTTCTCAAAATTGCTGATCTGCACATTCAATGGCAATCGTCCTATCTGCGAAGCAAACATATTGTTCCAAATTATTCACAAATCAGTTGTTATTATAATTCTTTACAAATAAAAGAAAATGGTAAAGTTATAGCAAACTATATTAAAAAATATATATAAATAAAATGAAAAAAAAAAAGAAGGAAAGAAAACGAACAAAAAGAGTTCCTGTAGCATCCAAGATCCCTGATGCTCCTGAAGCATAATTGATTCCACTGTCAAATGCATCGGCAGCTGAATCGGGTTTTAGATAAGGTGAAGTAAATGATTTCGCTCCTAGAGCTTCACCTGAACAAATCAAATTAAATAAAAAATTAAACTAAATTAACGGTTAACAATATTTAAATACATTTGTTATCTGTTGCTAAGTGATTCACATCACTAACAGTTTTAACCTTTATGTACATGAAATGTTTATTCTAACATAATATCGCGTATACTTATAACTATGTTATCTTAAATAGTTAACCGAGTGATCAATGAAAAAAAACGTGTTTTTCAACATGAAAAACTTGTATATATAGTTACCGAAAATTATCCTACACTGAAAATTGACTGCGTGATAATGCAATAATTATATACCAACGATATCTGCTATGGTACGGCCGTTAGTGAATCTTCCAGTAGGCTGTCCGCCGGAGGGTGTAAAATCGATACCATAAGGAGGAGAATCTGCCTTTGACAATGTAAACAGATAGTTATTATTCCCTGCATCAACAAGGGAATCTCCGAACAAATATGTAGTGTAACAAAAACAAGGCACAAACTGAAAGTGTAATAAAAACATGACAAACGTGTAGTAAAAACGTGTTTTTAGGATTTCGATGTCCATGTCTTTTTTTTTCTTTTTTCGTGCATCCGAAAAACTGAGGTGTTAATGAAGTTTTTTTATAATGCAAATGCAGTTCTGCTAGTTGCTGCAAGAATAAGCTAGTTATAAACCATGCAGCTGCTGCAAGAATACAGTACAAGTTTGAAATGGTCCAAAGGAGGAGTTGAAATTGGTACAATAAAGCATCAACTAATCTGGTTCATTTGTATGTACAGATGACATATTCCTTTACTCTGAGGGAAGACTAGTTCCATCTTTTTTGTTAGATTTTCCTTTTATGCCCTTATCTTCATTAATTGGAACAAAAATGAATTGTTAACTAGTAATAAATTTCTGTTAGTCTTTGTGTTGCTGCTTAAATTCTAGCCTATTAAAAGTGTCAACATGCATTTACACTTTACAGTTGATTGTTTAATTGTTTTCTAGTAAGCGTGTGAATGAAATTAAGAGGGTGTTTGGCTAAGCTTATAAGATGTTGAAAGGAGTTTATAAGATGTTTTAGAGGTTATAAGTTCTTCCAAAGTGTTTGGTAACTTTTTAGAAAAAGATCTTAATTTTTTTTAAAATAAGCTGTTGGAGAGCAAATAAGATCTTTTTAAATAAGTATATTTACCCCACCTTTTTATTTAAGATCTTTTAATGAGTAAAAATAGGAAAAAACAATATTATATGATTATTCTTTCTTTTAAGGGATTTTTTTGCATAAGTTCCCAACCAAACATCTTTATTATTGTAAGTTTAGGGGCTATATATCTTTCACCAATAAGCCCATCCCTTTTATATTTATTATAAACAAAGGAAACATTCATGTATATGCCAATATTACCCCTAATCATTTATTCATAATTCTTAACTGTTACCCTATTTTAATCAATTTTGTCCACAAAAATCCAATTTTGACCACAAAAATTCAATTTTGACTTTTTTTTTCAAAAACCTTTTTTTTTCAACAAATTTTTTTTTTTTAAATTCGGAAGAAAAAAATAATAATTGAAAAGTCAACGCCTGAGACCGGCGTTGACCGCCGGTCAACGCCGGAATCCGGCGGAAAAAGAAAAGTTTTTGAAATAAAAAAATTGAAAAAAAAAAGTTTTGGGTCAAAATTGAATAATTTGTGAAATTTGGGGTCAAATTGAGGTTAAATAAAGTTAAGGATGAAATTTGAGGATATTAAAGTATGAGGTGTTACTTTAGTCCTTTACAAAAATCTGGACCATGTGTGGACTTATTGGTAAATGAATTTTTTATCTGAATCTCTTTATGAATAAGCACCCATTAATGGGCTTATTTCTAATGACCCCTTCTTTTAATTTGTTTTAAACTTTTAATCAATAATAAAATGATGAGGACTATGTGTTTGACTCATTAATATAAAAAGGGAATTGTTTTTTGCGGTTTGAAAATTGCTATTTGCGGTTTCTAACAAAATTCCCCAAAAAATACTTTATTCTACTAAAACCCCAAAACTTTCCAAAAAAATCCAAAAACACCCTCCTAAACGCGTAAACGCCCAACTTGGGCGCCCATTCATGCAGTGCACGCCCAAGTTGGGCGTGCAAGCTGCATTTGGGCGCCCGAGTTGGGCGTCCAGTGCAAGAAATTTTTTTTTTTTTTTTTAAACGTTCGAACGCCCAAGACGTGTACGAACGCCCGGAACGGGCGTTTGTACACGCCTTGGGCGCCCATCTTGGGCGTTCGAACATTTTTTTGCGAAAAAAAAAAGCCCTACAAATTGATTTGTAGGGCTTTTTAACATGAAATTGGTTCCGTAATCGACCTACCCAATGCATGTTACACATAAAAGAGTCGAAATTACATCAAAAAATCGAAGCCCAACCCTTCTTCAAGCTTGATTTCGAATTTTCGATTTTTTTTTTTTTTTTTTTGCTATTTGCAGTTTTGGGGGGTTTTTTGATATTTTTAAAAGTTTTGGGGGGTTTTGTTATAAACCGCGAATAGCAATTTTGTGACCGCAAATAGCATTTTCGATATAAAAATAAGGGTAAATAGTACTTAAGTCCCTTGTGGTTTGGACATTTTGCACATGACCCCCTTATGGTATGAAATTAGGCACATAACCCCCTTGTAATTTTGACATTTTGCACATGACCCCATGGTATGAAATTAGGCATTTTTCTAAACACATTTTCTAAGTACATCTAAAAAAATTCAGAAAAAAAAAAAGTCGACGGCGGTAGTGTTCAAAACTGAAATAAGTGTCAAAATTGGTTAACATGAAAATTGGGCTAAATTAAGGTGTACATCATGAAATTAGAGTTGAATTAGGGTCTCAAGGAGTTGGGGATAATTTTAGTATATATAAACGGGATTTTACAAATAAGTTTGAATGAGGTGGATTTATTTGGAATACAAAAAAATTGGATATCCATTTTTTAATTAAGTAATTGTCATAGCCCTATTTGCCATTTGCCCAATAATCTAATATGTAAAGCTGGAAAAAAACACAAGAAATAAATTTCAAAATCTAAAATATTGTGATCTATTGACTTTGTTTTATTAAAATCTCACATAAAATTATTTGCAAAAATAATTCGACTATGGACATTGCCAATTTTGAAATTTTAGGGTGCAAAGTACCTTTTAGTGTTATTTCTAGGGTACGAAGCGCAATTCACCCGTATTTTGATCCTATTTCAGCTAATTTCTATATACTGATTACTGAGTTTTGTTGAAATATATCTAGAAAAATCAAGAGTCACGAGTAGTCAGTAATTAATGTTAGAATTGCTGTACTTTTTATGTTGAGATTTAATTTTATAAGAAGAATTTCGTAAAAAAATAATTTAAATGGGGATATTTTAGTATAAGAAAAAATAGTTTATTTCTAACGGCATGATTGGTAATCATGAATAAATTGGGAACAGAATGGACATTCCCAAGTTCATTCCAAAACACATATTCGGTATGTTTTGAGTGTTGGAATAGTCATTCAGATGGGAATTTGTATTCCCAATAATCCGGGAATAGTCACTCCTTTACAACTGCATGGTATTAGCCATTCTCAGTCATCAATGAATGAATATACATTTATTTTTATATTTAAATCCAAACACGACCTCCGGTTGATTATCTAAAAAAATATTGTTGGTAAATAATTATATTTTCATTTTTTTATATATATAAATTTTGATTCATTTATATTTTCAATAGACAAATTCAACCTGTATTCAGCAGTTGTACAAAAAAAAAACACTTATATCAAAAATATTAAAACTATTTATACGGATTAAATATCAAGGTAGCACAAAACATAAATTAAAAAAATACATAAAAACTTAAAAGCATATAATGTAGTGTTTCAAACTTTAATTCAAAAATCAAACAAAGTTCATCCCTTTTAATACTCCACCATCATTGGAAGGAATCGATGTCGAGGCTTGTAGTTCAAAACGGCCGACCAAGGTGTTCACAATTTCTCGGGTTTCTTTCAATTCCGCTTCCAATCTTTCCATTCTTTCATATTTAAGTTGCATTTGCTCTTTCATTGACTTCATTTCCATTTGCACTTCCGGCGGAATTGAAGAAAATCTCGACTTTGAACTCCTTGTGGTGGTTGCAATCTTAATTCCAAGCCCTTTGCTTTTTCCGAGCACTTTTTCTATCGCAGTTGAGTTGGCTGTGCTTTCGTCACTTCCATCACGCATTGTCTCATCGTAGACTCGTTCCAAATCAGCCTGAAAATGATTAAGTATACTTGTTTAGCGAAAATTTCGACAGCACAACAACTAATAAATGAACATACCCAAAAAAACCATCCATGTATACTACAACTTAACATTATTTAAAACAAATATTCATACCACATATCTCATCTACGTACTAGTTTAACATATCAAATAATTCTCGGAAAAACTGCACAATTGGATTATTGTACTTGCCAACTTTTTTGGTAACCCCACATTGTGAATTGCCAATGGAAGCAACTGTTGCATTAGTACGTGGTAGTCATGGCTCTTTAATTCCCCTACTTTGTCTTCACCAAAACAACGGGATATGTTAGATGCATAGCCGTTAGAAACCTTTACATTTTCTATAACATCACAAATTGCTTTTTTTGATTGGGCAGACAATTTGTGATACTTTCCTAATTTTGGAACGAGATTGGGAAATCGAGGACCGGACTTGCCCGACGGTGGCTTTTTAATTTTTCCAATGTCCTCCTTAGCATTGTCGAAATCGTCATTTTTGCCAAGAATATTTATAACCACCTAAGAAATAATTCTCCAATATTCTTCTCAATATGCATAACATCAAGATTGTGTCGTATGAGATTATCTTTCCAATACGGCAATTCGAAGAAGATACTCATCTTTCTCCATTGGGAATCTCGATGCACCGCTTGGCCGACGCCAGAAGTAACATTGATTCCCTCCGTTTTTGATAACACCTCATCTCCTGAAGGTGGGGGTGGAGCCCCTTCTTCAGAAAAACGACTATGACCCATATAGCATTGTTTATTTGACTTGTACAAACGTTCGAACATAGTGTTTTCAGCACAACTAGGGCAAGCAAGATAGCAACTAGTGCTCCACCCCGACAAGTTACCAAGTGCCATGGGAAATCATTAATAGTCCACAAAAGTGCCGCTCGCAAATTAAAGTAATGTCTGGTGGACACATCAAAAGTTGTTATCCCAAAGACCCACAACTCATTAAGCTCATCGATCAGGGGTTGTAAATAAACATCAATCCCATTTTTCGGGCCTTTAGGACGAGAAATAAGCAATGACATCACCATATGATAACGTTGCATGCAAATATTTGGTGGTAAATTGTAAATCATTAGAATTACCACCCATGTGCTATGTTTGCTACTCAACGATCCAAATGGATTAAAACCGTCTGTAGCCAACCCAAGCCTTACATTACAAGGGTCCAAAGAGAATGACTCGTGCTTCTTGTCAAACTCTTTCCATGCATCAGAATCAGCTGGGTGCCTAAGAACCCCATCGTTACACTGAGACTCAGCGTGCCATCTCATGTTAACGGCTG